GGCAGTCCTGGCTCCCCCACTGAATGTCGATTGGAATTTACATAGTTCTCAAACATAATGAGAACGCAACACTGAATTTGAAACCTTGTAAAAGGTGTCGCAGCGACACAAACATCTGGTTACATACGGAATTAACTAGTCCCTCCGTGTGAAAATGCTTGTCGGAGAAGTAGATGTATTTTAATTATAGATATATCCATTTTTATCCATTCCTTCGACAAGTATTTTCGGAAAGAGGTAGTATATTTTTACATCACTTTTGTTGGAAATTGCACCTAACACACAGGAGGCCAGATTGGGAGGACCATGAATCATGGTCAGTTGGTAAAAGAGTTTGAAAACTTCATTTACTCCAACGAGCAAGGTGCTACCGCATTACTTGCAAGATGCCCGGCTAAAAGGCATGTGAGCCCGTGGTCCGGCGGTCCACCCCCGCACTGACAAGAGCTCGGTGGCTTTCGGATTGATTGAAGATGGATAACCTTGGATTGGCTTGGCTTGCGTTGCGTTTGCATGTGAAGAGCGTCTGGGTGTGAGATCCGTACGTTGCAGCGGCCTATGCGCTGTCCTGTACTCTACGTGGATTTGTAAACATTTATATACCCTTATCCTTTCTCAAATGGATTTCTTTTCTTTTCGAGAAGAAATTCTCACGTGGATTTTGGACGTCTCAGAGAAAATCCGTTGCGTTGCGCTGTTCAAGCTCGCTTGGTTTGACCCGTCAACGGCTATCAATTCGAGGTATAAAACAAGGTTTGTCAGAGCGTGTTTGCAGATACCTGTGCAGTCTTTGCCCTTGTTGTTTACAGACGCTAACAGGCAGGGAAATTTACATTCGGCAAGGAAGAAAAAAAAATACAGTAGAGAGAATTAGTGGTGACAGTGACTAGCTTCTCTGTATGAATATTTGCTTGTGTCTAGGTTCGAATGCTAATGTCACCTGCTACTATTAGTTACTCCCTCCGATCCAAATTAAGTGTCGTCGTTTGAACTACATCCCCGTGATCAATGAAGTAAGAGCATCTTCAAAAGATGATGTAAAGCTTGATGCCCTAAAAAATCATTATAGTGCATAAGAGAAGGTTTTTGGCACTATTATTTTGTTTCCACAAATGGTGCATAACTAAAATTTGAGACCCACAAGAAACATGACGATCCGACAGCCGAAGGCCAGGAGGCAGATGACGGCAGGGAGGAGCTCGGTGAGGACGAGGTTGGTGTCGATGGAATCCGCCGGCCGGCCATGACAGATGGAGCCGGGGTGCGGGATGAGGCGACCGGCGTCAGAGGGGGAGGACGGCCATGATGGACGGCGTGTGGGGTAGGGTGGGGGGGGGGAGGATTTGGGGGCCGACGATCAAAATCTGCCAGCACAAGGGCAGGACGAGGCGGCCCATCAACGGTGAAAGGTCACAATGGCATTGGGTTCCTGCCACATTCGTTTTTGTTTTAGGGCAGCCCCTGGTGGTGCTGCAAATAGAGCACTGCTACATGGACGATGGTTGGCGGCCGATTCCTGCACGACAAAATATTGCAGCCATGTATTCCTTTTGTTCAGTGGGTTGCAGCCGTCGATAATGAGTGTCGTGCATGCAGCGTCCGCCAACCATCGTGTGTACAGTATTTCCGCTGCAAATATACTAGTACATCATTTGAAACTACTTCCTCCGTTTTTAAATACAAGTCTTTGTAAAAATTTCACTATGAACTACGTACGAATGTATGTGTATGCATTTTAGAATGTAGGTTCACTCATTTTGCTCTGTACGTAGTCCATACTGATATCTCTACAAAGACTTATATTTAGGAACGGAGGGAGTAAAATATAGGGTTGCTGCAAAAAAAAAAAATCAACACCAAATAGAGATACATCATCTATTGAAGCTGGTCTTTTGGACTAAAATGCTCCAAACGGCAGTTTTTTTGGGCGCAACCGCCATTTTACTGTTGGGGACGCGCTAACAAACAGTTTCAAGCTACCAACAAAAAATCATCATATATAATAAGCATGTGCAAGTCATTAATTATACTCGCAGCAAGGACAAGAATTACAGCGTGGATGAAAAGGTTCTCTCATCTGTACATTTCTTGATAACTCAAGGAAAGCCCCTGGGCACTACACTAAAAGGACTCTTTCCTTTTTCTCTCTCAAATGTTGCAAATATGTAAATACACAAGATACAATCGGCGTGTGCTGCACATCTTTAGAGCATTTGCTAACAGCTGCAGGCAGGCAAATAAAAAGATTGCCTTCACAGGACGTGTCCAAAGGGGAAAAACCTCGTGGACTTGATCAACCTCCTACTCTCACAAATATGAATACACAAGCACCCAAATTCACAACCTAATAATATGTGCAGCGCCGTCAAACCGGGCACGGTTACTTTATCAGCCACCACCGTGGACTTGATCGCCTGGTCCAGCAAGAACAACCTGCATTCAGCAGATGAAAGGTGTAAACATATTGCTTCACAAGTTCTTATAAATGACGCAAATTCTTGAGCACAATAACACTCACGTTGCAACTGGAAGCAAATTTCCGAGCAAGCATAATCGCGGCATTCCTATCCCTGTCCGTCTCGAAAGCTAGAGTGTAGGATAGGCCTTTCCTAGTTTGCCAGAAGACTGCACAGGCCGCAGCATTACCACCACCTCGGCTTCCACACAACTGAAGATTGCCCAAGAGAACAAGATGGATCGTCAGAAAATAACCTCAGAATATACAGAAACTTTTCGCCAATTCCGATCGAATTGTTTGCATATTCAATGATCCTTAAGTTCTAAATAAACATGACAGGGCTAATGATCAGAGAACATTCTTAAGTTTCTGCGGACTTATATGGAACCATTGTTTGTTTCCGAAATATTATCAGGAGACCTAGAAGGTCAGGGCCCATATTTTTGTTGTAAACTGGCAAGCATGGTTATTTAAGATATTGTACAAGGATTTAATGCTACAAGCTGACACAGCACGTTTAGGAAACAAAACATTACAATTGAGTAGACATCACTTCTGTTACATATGTGCTGTGAACGTGATTTCACTTTACCTTCATTGTGGTGGAATATGACTCCCTTGCTTTTGTAGACCTTCCTTTCCGAAGCTTCACTCTCAGCTTTCCAATATGAAATACATGGACAGATTTTGATGCGTAGTCATTCCCATTCATTTGGGTTACTACCACCTACAAAGCAGCACAGATGCAAACCCCAATTAATTTATATCCAGTAATCATTCAAACGCACTGATATTTCCTAGCACAAAATAACAAGATTGCACTTTTTATAGCTGGTCCAATGTCAAGGCAGTAGAATAATCAAAGGTAAAGTGTTTTGAAGAAGTTTTATACTGGATTACTGGTATCCTATAGGCAAAGAAGTTAATACATACATTGAACTCAATATCCGCCCTTTTCATTAGCGATTCCACATAATGTTCCAGTCCTGAAGCTGTTCAAAGTACACAACAGAGTCAGCCATTAACACGAGCTTATATCCAATATCAATGACTCATTGTTATAAGAATGTGTGACAAAATGAAGTTAAACAAGCAGGGCCATTGGCAAATTGTAGCATGAGGCTAATTCATATAATACCACAACACAAATCAAATCGTGCTTATGCCTTGTCAGGTCAAAATAGATGGTGTTATTAAGGTCTACCAAAGGAAGAAAATCAGTGTAAGGATCAAATGTATGAAGAGGATGACCGGCACAAGTTGGAATAGTAAATATCGGGTCTGGGATGTGTGGAAGTTGCTAATGCTTTATATATCACAAAGAAAGCAACAGAACAGTTCAGTTATTTTCTGGAAGAAACAAACATATCCACATACATAAGTTATTTCCCCCATAATTCGGCAGATAACAGATGTTAAAAGAGAAGTGAGGAAATGCCTAACCATGATTTATAGGGCCATCTGTCTGAACCGTAACTTTATCTGCTTTCAAAATTATCTCTGCTTGCAACAATTGGCCAACATCAAATGGCTCTGGAGCATAAGTAAGTCTCGTTGCACCTGCAGCAGAAAATTAAATACATCAACATATAAATAAAGGAAAACAATGATCCAAAAAGGTATTAGATGTTCTCATGAAACATAGTTTAATGCAGAGATTTTTGCCGGATGAGTCTGTTCCTTTCAATGCTCATGGAAGATGTCTAGCAAGCTCTGGGAACTATTTGGGAACGGCATGAAAGCCCTGTTCTGGGAGGATCGATGGCTCAACGGGCGCTCGGTCGGCGAGCTCATGCCCCTGCTCTACAACTGCATCCCCAAACGGCGGCGCAAGGCTAGAACGGTGGCCGAAGGCCTCAACGGCAACGCTTGGGCCCGAGACATCCAGGGTGTTCTCGGCCTCCATGAGATTGGCCAGTATTTGCAGCTTTGGCAACTCGTGCAGCAGGCTACACTCAGCGATGCCCCTGACCAACTGATTTGGAAGTGGACCGAGAGCGGCATCTATTCGGCGCAGTCTTGCTACTTGGCTACCTTCCAAGGATCATCGCACTCCTACTCCTGGAAGCTGATCTGGAAGGCTTGGGCTCCCCCTCGGGTCAAGTTTTTCCATTGGTTTATCGCTGCTGGACTGCCGACCGTCTGGCCCGCCACGGTCTGCAGCATCATCCGCGTTGTCTCCTGTGCGATCAGGCGCCGGAAACGATCCGGCACCTCATGCTTGACTGCCCCTTCTCTGGGCAGGCATGGCACGAGACCCTGGCCTGGCTACGCATACCAGCGCCGATTCCCAACCAGGAGCCCACCCTCATGGACTGGTGGCGACACGCCAAGGACGACACGCTGCAAGCACAACGCAAGGCCCTGCAATCCGTAGCGCTTCTAGTACCATGGCTCGTTTGGAAACATAGGAACAGCTGCGCTTTCGACAACGCGACGCCCTCCCTCGGCACGCTTGTCGACCGGATCAAGGAGGAAGCCGGCTCCTGGGCTAAGGCCAGAGCCGCAGGCCTTAGAGTAGTCCTGCCCCCTTCATGGGACGTGCACTGAGCTTTGTAACTGATCCTCGATTATTCGTCCTAGGACGACTGTAACTGACTCCCTACCTTTTCAATGAAAAGAAACGCAAGGTCCTTTGCGTTTTCTTGAAAAAAAGCTCTGGGAACTATTCATTTATCAGATTACATACCCGATACGAGCTCTCTGTGGCCTCCGGAAATTACACGGTACCACTGAGCTGGACAGCTTGAGATGTCTGGAGCACCATCAACTCGAGGGACAATACGGAACTGTGATCCAAGAGTATCAGAACCTTCAAGCTCAAAGAGTTTAGAGCTATCTTGTTCAAGCCTCTTGATCATGGCAAGCTGAACATAAAAGTGAGTGGTGATTCACATAGCTCGACATTACTCAAATTACAATTTAAATAATATGGAGCTTGTCCTAACAGGAATTACCTCTTTCTTTAACTGATTGCAAAGCTGTGTTTTTTCTGATATAAGTGTACGCAGTCCCTGAAGCTCAAACTGCATGTCCATTACCTACGATATTTTGCATGACAACTGTTAGTAAATACATGAGGGGCAAATTGCCACAGTATGCTTTGTTTGATTACAAGATATATGAAAGTATAAGAAGCAGAGAGCATTGAGAAAAAAAAACATGCCAATTTGTAAGAAAAGGAGTTAGGACTAAAAGAGGAGGGAGTACTCTATTTGAACTTGACAATGAAATGCAAATGGAACAGAGGAAGTATCATCAAATATTAACATAAACACAAAAAACTATAACTCCATGAATAGAACAATGAACCAATGATGAAAAACAAACCTTGCTTGGCTGGTGTAGCATTTTTATTCGTCTAGCCTCTCGAATCTCTTTCCTAAGTTCCTCTATCTCCTGATCAGGAAAAAACTAAGATTTTAAGTAAAAAAATGTAGCAATTACTCGAATCAAAAGAATCATGTCAGTGCATTTGCATCACCGACTACATAAGAGGTAGTTCAATAACAGTATAGAAATATCCAAGCTCATCATTAATTGAGGAAGCACCTCCTTCTCTCTGCTACTTGATGCTGAATCCTGCTCCTGCAACGCTTTCTCAACTTTTTCTATTGCAGCTCTAGATTTTTCAATTTCAGCGAGTGCAAGAGCTCTTTCCTCTTCAGCTACCTTTCGGGCATCTTCAGTAGCCTACGATACAGAGGAGAATGGTAACTTCGTTATTCAGATGTAACCAAATGGTGTTATTGTAATGCTAGTAAATACTGATATCTTAATAGGCATTCAGAAGATTGTTGTGAAACATCGCACATACTAAATGATACGAAAATTGAATGTGGCTCGTGACTGAAAACTAGGACTGCTTTTCTTAAGTTAGGCACAACACGACCTCGTGAACAGGACATGGTACATTATACGACAAACTATAGCCTTTGGTTATCAAGAATATAAAAAATAAAGACAAAAGCACACAGGATAATTTGCCCAAGAGATTCCGTGTTGTAGCTTTAGAGATACAAAATGGCTCAAAAGACAATCTAATTCTCGTACACATTAAGGTAGAATTAGGCCACTGTGCCAAGTTTTCCAGAAAAAACGAGAGCATTCTGCAAACGAGCCAGGCACTCCTAGACTCTCACTACAACCACCAGGATCTACGGACAAATTTACTTTTCATATATGAAATTATGAGTTATCAGTCTTATAAAACAAAAGCCTTACCACATTCTACTTGAACAATGTCTACAGTATCAGCATGTTACAATATACATTTCCTAATGTACTGACAATTAAAAAAATATTAATTACTTATGAAGCCTCAAACATTTTTCAGGCTCTCCGATCTGATGTTACAAAGTTTAAACAGGCATGAATAACAAATTCGATAATTAAGAAATGGGGTAAACCTGCTTGAGGAAGCTAGCCAACTTTTTTACTTCAGCCTTCTCATAAATTAATTCACCTTCTCTTTGAGTAAGTTGAACTGCTAGTGCTTCCACCTGATAGAACATAACTAGTCATAATCACTTCAAAGTTTTTGGAACAAAGGTAATATGAGAAAAAAAGAAAACATCACAACTGGAGATAAAGAATCATAATTAATAAATATGAAATATGATGGTTTATTTTACATGCCTACTGAGACTGATAAGCTTAAATCCAAAAATGTGCAACCAAAATTTATTAGTACTGCTTTTCAGAGCATTACATTAACACAATCTTTCAAATTTGAGCATTTTTAAAACGCTCAAAGCATCATGTACAAACTATTATGTGAAAGCAAGTAACGAAAAAGCACAATCAAGGTTGGCAATTGGTACCTAATATCGTGTACAAGAAAAAGGTTGGGCTGTTTGCAGGATGCTAGCTTAGATAAATCATACACGGGTGAAACTAACTTAACTCATACTTTCAATTAAGAACAATTCAATCAAATTAAAAGTAGCTTATAATAGAAGACAAATATTGGCAGTCTAGAGAAGAGATTAACCAGCGAGATAGCTTCATCAGCATCATCTCTGTTTCGACCAGCCACACGGCCTTTCAGCGTGTCTAGAACATCTCTGAGCTTCTTCAGAAGAACCTGCCTGTCCAGGGAAGCTGCTTCACGCCGCTTAGCCTGAAACATGAAGCAACAACTTTAAAATAGAATTTCAATGCAAGGAAGTTACTACGAGTAGAATGTGATATTTATCCTACTCCCTCCGTTCCTAAATATTTGTCTTTTTAGAGGTTTCAAATGGACTAACACATACGGATGTATATAGACATATTTTAGAGTGTAGATTCACTCATTTTGCTTCGTATGTAGTCACTTGTTGAAATCTCTAGAAAGACAAATATTATGGAACGGAGGGAGTATTTAGCAAGGCCCCATGGAACCGATATACTTATCAATTTGAAGCGGATTTATATGCTCCTTTGAAAAGGAATAATCTTCAGGAAAGAGAGGTAAGCTATAAATGAACTATGACTGTGAGTTCAACAATGAGTGGATCAATTAATGTGAGCTCTGGAGGCACGCTCTGGGGACGCTGACACTGTTAGGGGAGTCTGATAACAACTCCACAATATGGTCATTGACAGATAAGTTATCAGGTATAGTAATTTCACTATCTCTAAATATGTTTATCCGTATCCAGGTGGCATGCCACATCATTCTTCATATAAGGAAGCATGTGAAATTCTAACCAGGGAACCATGGCTTGTGTGAACAACCTACAGCTAATTACAACAACTTTCATATATGTGTCGTTGGAGCTCCTGGTATACTCACATTGTTGACAAAAGTCAGAACAAGATGAAGTGCTTGGACTGATTAGCATACCTCTTCAGACAACTTGGAGGCACCAGACAGACCCTTCTCAAACTTCTCCCTGAGATCACGCACTGACAGCCGCTTTCGCTGCTCTAGCAGTTGTGTTGTTTCTTTCGCAACAATCTCCTTCAAAGGCACAACCTCGTGCGTCTCCTCTGGGTCAATGATTTGGTTGTTTGGCCCAATCCTGTAGTCTGGAAAGTGGCCCTTGGGGAAGTTAACATCAGAGGATACCATGTCAAGTGCATCTTTCTGCATGCCTTCTCCCGAGTCATGGATGACCCTTGTCATCTGCGGTACTCTGATACAGAACAGAACAAGAATATATATTTTCAGTGCGAAACCAGATAAAGTTGTAGTATCAGTAGAACATATGAAGGTGCTAGCTGATGATATATTGGGCATGTCTCATGGTGCAAACAACCTGACGCTATATGAAATCAGGCGCAGCAAAGCTGGGGAAATCTAAAATGCTTTGAATTGATGGTTATTTTTCATTCGCGTAGCTGAGCTTATAGAAGCACATCACGACAACTTAACCAGGAAGTAAATTCGACCCAACCAAATATCTACCTCACCAAAACTAGCTAAATTGGCATCATCCAGTGAGTCCAAAGTTAAGAAGCAAGATAGAAGCAAGGAAAGGAGCAGGCTAAGCTTTACAATTAGAGGAGGTATGGATAGATAGGTCAGTTCAGGGACATGAATTCTGGAACAAGACAAAGCGACAGCCTTTGGGCTAAAAATTGCTAATCGTGCGACATGCTAGATTCAAGGTGAGCTATGACAAAACCCGTGCTGATTTGTGTGGAAGAATACAAATTTCTTACCAGGAGCAAGGAGACAAGCTCTTAAAAACGTGACTGGATATGTTCTGTAACGAACTGACAATACAGCCCAACCAACTAACTAACCGAAAAACACAGTCGCTGAGACTTGAAAGGAACAAACTTTACGACAGGGAGACAAGCCATGTAACTTTTGTCTGCCCCCAAATCCCACAGCAGCATGGATCCTCACCTCATGCGCGACTCCCGGGATCGCCGGAGAGCCGGGCTCCTCACCCAATCCGCCGCCGCCGCCGCCGCCGCCGCCGTCCCACGAACACGAACGGGAAGCCTCCGGAGCACGCAACTACTCTAGCAGCGGGCAAATGGCGGAAGGGCCCCCTCCGCCCAATCCAGCTAGGGTTTTAACGCCCGTTCTGCTTTGAGAAAAGCTGGATGTATGGATCGAGGCTGTTGCTTTCGATCCCGTGGAAGTGGAATCCTTTTTCGGCCGGTGGCGAGTTCGAAATTTGGTTGCGGGATTCGGGTGAGCCTGCCTGACGCCGACGGGCAGACGGAGGAAAAGAAACGACGAACGCAACGGAGGGAGGGGAAAGGTGGAAGAGTACGGCGTGCTGGTGACGGAAGCAAGCGGCAGAGGAGTTAACCATTCAACGACGGATTAGCAGCAGTCTGGTGGATTAAATGTGGGCCCACCCGTTTTAAAATGGGCAGGGCCGGGGGCATTGATGGTATTTGCTTGGTACAGTCAAAAGAAGGATGGACTCGCACTGTCACTGGACGACCATTTTTCTAAGCTCGGATTCAAATCGCTCCTGGATGGCTCAGGATGTTAATCTACTGACGGCATATACAATGCATAGCCTCAAGGTGATGCCTCACATGCTATGTAGGATCGGATATGACGTAAAGTAGGTTCGGATAGGGAAGCGGGATCTTTTTCAAGAGGCGGGTGCTTGAAGAAAAAAGTGTGGTCCGGTGACAAAAGCTGAAAAGGCTGAAGTAAAAAGTAGAGATGCATGTGTACTAGAGTCTTTATTTTTTACTAGTAAAACGCATGTGCGTTGCTACGTGCTATACTGTATATAAATAAATCAGACAAATTATTGATATTGAAGCTTATTTCTCTCTCATACACCAACCTCAAGGTCGACGGCAGGTTCCGGCGATCTAGTGTAGCAACATAAAAACTCCACCCCATGACACACCTTTATGTTTTTCTGTCGGACCCTCCCCTTCCGCTCGGTTTTCGCCGTAGTGAGACATTTCTTCTCGCTGGAGCCCTCTCCTTTAAAATGGGATGACGCCCACCTCACCTTCGCCATCACGGCCTCTCTCCTTCACACCATACTTCCCCACGGAGGGATTGCATTTAGACGTCGAAAAAAATCGATGGCGAGGGAGTCATGGAGGAGGGGTAGAGAACGAACCGGTGAAAGCCCAAAAAACCTGCGTACAATGTTCGCTCCGCCTGGGTCATAGAGGAGTCCCCCTGGTAGAGGAGTTTGGGGAGAAGAAGACGGCGACGCGAGGACACGTTGGGAGGATTGCAAGGAAGGCACGCTGGTAGAGGAGATCGAGGAGAAGAGAACAGCAGCGCGAGGACGTCGGGATTATCGCGAGGAGGGCATGCGATGGGAGGATTGCGTTCACATACACGTTAATGGGCCAGCCCAATGCTGTGATGTGATGATGTCAAAGGTGGGCGAAAGATAGGAGTGGTGGGATGAGGTGGAGTGAGGCGAGACTACCAACTAAGACATTAGTAGTAGAGATTACTGAGAGTTGGTACAACATACATAATCCTTATGGAAAATGTTAGGCTGAATCTTTGAGTAAGTGAATCTATCTTGTAAACTCCATTGTAGACCATGCATACACATTATTCTCCAGAAAAACTGGTGCAGATTATTTGAAGGAGCTTGATATCCCATAGACCATAGTCCTCGTGTAGTCTTGCATTGAAAGATATAGGTATGTAAGACAGTTAGCTTAGAATGAAATAGATAATTAAATGGAAAAGAGAAGAACTGAAATGAGGTAGAACTTCCAGTAGGGTCACATTTCATTACTCAGACTAACCAAAAGTTTTAGAATCGAGTTCTTGGAGCTCTTTGTCTTTGAGGTCATCATTCTTTATAATCTAAAACGTGAACATTTGGTTGGTAAAGAACATTACGTGTTAAATATGACATGTTATAGCAAGCCTAATATCAGAACCACCTCTCATGGGCACAATCAACTCCCTAAAGCCTCTTTTTTTATCAGATGCATAATGCACATCACTTACCGAGGAAGATTTAAGCCTCTTCAACATAACAATCGGCATCCCTTGTCAAAGCTCACACCAAAATAACTGCACGTCTAATCATTCTACCCTTTGATTGATAGACTGAAAATAAGTACACAAAAGATAGGAGCTACTCACATTCAAACTTCTGCCACAAGCTCGTTGATGGTCATGCCCCTTCAACATGTTCACACATAGTGCGTCAAAAAATAATATTCCTCCAACCAGCCCATACAGAATGCCTCGAATTGGCATGATAAAACAAATCCAGATTGCATTATTCATCGAAATGATAAAAAATGAAAACATCTCAAACCAATATGTATGTAGAATCATGAAATTATATCTTATGTATCAAAGCGAATATACAACCTTTCAAAAAGCGAAGGAGGACCATACATAATACAATACTCCTTTCCAGCGCTTTACGTCGCCTGCCTCCCAATGCATCCCTGGTCATCTCCATGGCCTATAGGAGGCGCTTCACCTACAGCAGAATTTCGAGATAGGAATCCTTTCTTCACCTACAGCAAAATTTCGAGATCCCAACACTATCAGGCTAATACAAAGATCCATGAGAAGTGTGAACGCACCAACGTTTCCGGGTATTCATGGACCATACGGGTAACTGATTTGGAAAAGGTAGGCGGCGATGCTGGCATGGCCGACGGCACATGATGCATCTATAGTGAGACCGGCGGCGGCCAGCAGCACCGTGGTGGCCCAATTCGATAAGCCCGGCGGTCGAGTACATGGAAGGCCAGTAGCCCACGCCCACGACGTTGGCAAAGTAGCTCGGGATGGCAGCGGCGAATCGCTGGGTCACCCGTGTCAATGACCTCGAGGCGCTGTTGGCGCGAAGGGGAGCATGTTTCCACTGTCGCAGATCTCCCATGCGACATCAATGGTCGACAGCATCGGTCTCTCTCGATGGACCGGATCTTCCCTGTCACGGTATTCGGGGGAGAGGGGGTAGGCAGTGCCAAACAACGGAGGGAGAGGCTTGACCTGGCAGGTTCTTGAGCGGTTTGACAGTTCTTTTTTTCGACGATAGCTGAATGCCCTTGCGTTGCTATGGGACATCCAAGATATATATATTGATCAATAACCAGAAGGTTATTAATTCTACTTCACAAACTTCGACAATGCATGCACATTTTAATTTTCGATCAAAAAACAAAGATAACAAACTCCTATAACAGTGGATAAAATACAAGAAATTAGTCTAACTGAAAATACCACGTCTATCTTAGAACGTCTATAATATCAGTTAAGAAGTCTACTACAAAACTTACTAACAGGTGGAAAAGGGGTAGCTAGTATCTCTCCAACAAACAAAATCATACCATACAAAATAGATTGCCTGCAGTCAATAAAACAGTAGTAGGGCATCTAAACAAAAAAATACATAGGGAAAATGGAACATGTCGTTTCGAAGATTACATTAATCCTGTCAATGTTAACCACAATACTGAAGATAGGCCATAATGGCCACATGACCATCTGCACTGTACTGATAACGGAACTGCGTGTCTTCATTGCTATCATTATAGATTAACATATTTAATTGTTTCAGCACAAAGGTTCCATAATGTCAGGGTTGTTGGAGAACATAGTAATTTCAACTGTTGGGGAACGTAGCAATTTCAAAAAAATTCCTACGCACACGCAAGATCATGGTGATGCACAACAACGAGAGGGGAGAGTGTGATCTACGTACCCTTGTAGACCGACAACGGAAGCGTTATGACAACGCGGTTGATGTAGTCGTACGTCTTCATGGCCCGACCGATCAAGCATCGAAACTACGGCACCTTCGAGTTTTAGCACACGTTCAGCTTGATGACGATCCCCGGACTCCGATCCAGCAAAGTGTCGGGGAAGAGTTCCGTCAGCACGACGACGTGGTGATGATCTTGATGTTTAAGTGTCGCAGGGCTTCGCCTAAGCACCACTACAATATTATCGAGGACTATGGTGAAAGGGGGCACCGCACACGGTTAAGAGAACGATTTTAGAGATCAACTTGTGTGTCTAGGGGTGCCCCTGCCCCCGTATATAAAGGAGCCAAGGGGGGTGCGGCCGTGTAACATCCCGAGACCGATGTGCCAGGTGTCGTGCAGTTATTCGCTGTTGTTGCCTTGTCATTGCTTGCCTGTCATGCATTGCATATCATGTCATCATGTGCATTTCATTTGCATACGTGTTCGTCTCATGCATCCGAGCATTTTCCCCGTTGTCCGTTTTGCATTCCGGTGCTTCGTTCTCCTCCGGTGGTCATTTCTACCTTTCTTTCGTGTGTGGGGATTAAACATTTCCGGATTGGACCGAGACTTGCCAAGCGGCCTTGTTTTACTACCGGTAGACCTCCTGTCAAGTTTCGTATCATTTGGACTTCGTTTGATACTCCAACGGTTAACCGAGGGACCGAAAAGGCCTCGTGTGTGTTGCAGCCCAACACCCCTCCAATTTGGCCTAAAACCCACCTAAACTTACTCCATCACCTAGAGCGTTCGATCATGATCACGTGGCCGAAAACCGCACCTCATTTGGACTCTTCTAGCTCCCTCTACCTATATATATGTGGCTCTCCCCGAATTTTTCGCGCAGTCCAACCCTAGACCCAACTCCCTCCGTGCCCCCGGACATGTCCGCCCGCCGGCGGACGCGTCCACCCAGCCGGCCACCTCACTCCGGCCTATCGGAGCCCGCCACATCAGCCGCACCATCCGCCCCGGGCCAACGGCGGCTCGCCACCTCAGCGCCATCCTCCCTCTCTCTCCTCCGCACCCCGCCACCGGCCCACGGGGCCCGCAGCCGGCCCACGCGTCGCCCGCCGCCG